ATAAGGCCCACAGCCACAACAGCCCAAGACACACACAAGACCCACAGCCACAACAACTAAGGCACAAGTAAGGCCCACAGCCACGACAACTAAGGCACAAGTAAGGCCCACAGCCACGACAGCTCAGGACACACACAAAGGCCCACAGCCACAGCAACCTAAGGCACAAGCAAAGCCCACAGCCACAGCAACTAAGGCACAAGCAAATGAAACATATAGTTAGGATAATAAAAGGGCCCAAAAGGATTGAGAGAGCTCATGGTTTAGGAAAGATCAACTACCAAAGCCTATAACCAGAAGCCACCCAAAGCACAAGGGGCTCACGGCCAAAGCCAATCAAAATCAAAGCCAATCAAAAGGACCATCAAAAGGCAGCCACACCTCCCTAATTGAATGAAAGGATCACTGAAACAAGTATGATTTTCATTTTGGATGGCAAACTTGATTCATTTACAATACTCAAGTCAACCCGGGCCCAATCAGAAATCAGACAAGGCCAAACCGAGCTCAGCAGAAGCCAAACAAAGTGACAACAGCCCCCCCATTAGAAACTGAACCAAGTTCCAGCAAGAAATAATTTTCCAGCAAGAGCCCCATTGAGAAACAGAGCCAAAGCCGAACTCCAAACATGAAACAAAGCTATAGTCAGCCTCCATCTATAAATAAAATCAAAGCCAACCAAGGTAAAATGAGCCAACACAGCCTGCCTTAGAACCAACCCGAACCCAGCAAGGCTAAACAAATCCAACCCGAACCCAGCAAGGCCAAACAAACCCAACCCGAGCTCAGAAGAAGCCAGACAAGACCAACCCGAGCCCAGCAGAGGCTAAACAAAGCCAAAATCGAAATCAACTAGAAACAATAAGCTAAAACCGAGCTCAATAAAAACCAGAAGCCCAAAATCGAGCTCCAACTAGAAAAACAGGAACCATACTCGAGAAACAGGGCCCAAAGCCAAGCCCTCAAAACAAAATGTAAAGCTTTCACAAATTAAATAAGTTCTTGAATAACATATATTTCGAGCCAAGGGAAGCCACAGGAAGCCCAAGCCGAGCCCCCAAACATGCATAAAATAGTAAAATGCACTCCCTAGCATGCATGAAAGGCCAAATAACCTCTCCAATATTTCATACCAAATGAAAATAAGTGAAAAGCTTCATAATACTCATCCCAACATGCTTGCAAGAAGTGCCAAAATTATTTCAAAACCATATTTCAAGCTTCCATTCTAAGCAAGTAACCAAATCAAACGCCGCAAGTAACCAAA